CGAGGGGCACGCCGCCCCTTCCCTGGCCACTTGGCGAGGTGAGTGCCCAGCCTGGGTCCTCACGCACGGGACTCAGCCACTCCAGCGGTGACGCCCTGCCTTGTCACACAGAACAGCCACTCACAGTGACCTTGACACTCAGGAAGTGGTCAGTTCACGTGGTGGCTGACCCTGCGGTGTCACAGTGTAGCCATTCACCCTGGTCCTCCCACGACACAACCATTCACAGTGCAACGCTCCACGGTCACTGAGTGGGTGGCTCACACACAGTCCCACACACGGGTTAAAGTCGCTCAGACAGTGTCAGTCTCTGTGATGTAATCCTGCCAAGTGAGTGCAGCAGACATTCACTCCTCACCCACTTGGCCCCGGGATACCCAGCGCTGTCCCTGGCTTCCCTGGGATGTAGAAACGCCGCCTGCCAGAGCAGTGGCTCTCCGCCTTGGCTGACGGGAGAACCATCTGGGACTTTGAAAGCCGACCAGTGCCCAGGCCGCACCTCCGACCTATATACATAAAATGTGAACACATTTTAACAGCTGATGACTCAATATTTACCCCTTTTCAAGTTTAACTGATTTGAAATAATGGATGAAGCCAGGCTAAACTTCAACAAAAAATATTTATCCTACAGTGCCACTAGACTTTATTTCACGGGGGTACATAAAAGATAAAGTTTACAGTACAAAACCAGCAACAGTGGACAAATTGAGGGCACACAAATACCAAACAAAATGACTCTTGAAGTTTGTGATTCCATTGCTTTGAGTTATCAGCAGTGCCTGGACCAGAACGGTCATCAGTTTGAAAATAGGCATTGATTAAAAAAAAATCATTCACTTCTGTAGACTCTTTAAATTTTGGAAATGAACTGTGTGTTAATAAACACTGGTTTTGTAATCATTCAAAGTGCATATACATTTGTGGGGGGGGGGCACCCTGTAGTTGGTCTGATTCAGAGCTTAAGTATCAATATAACTTAAAAGCTCTCCGGAAGCTTCAAGTCTGTAGTTGGGTTGAAACCCTGCAATAGAGCATGGTGCTAACACCATGGGATCAGAGAAAGTATATCCAGATGTTAAATGGCAATACACTTAAGGCAAAACCAAAAGACGAGTAGATTTCCAGGCAGGTAAGGGGGAGGCGGGCAGGGAACAGTTGTTCCAGGAGAGGGAACAGCCTAAGCAGAGCCTGGAGGTGAGAGGCTTCTTAGGAACCAAATAAACTTGATGTGGTTGGAGCCAATGAGATGGCCAAGAACCAGGTCGTGAGCAGCTACATAAAGGATGCTAGAGTGTATCCTAAGGGTGGAGCAAAGCCATCAGAGAGTTTGATGAAGATGTGGGCAACATGTTCAGATTTGTTTTAGAAGAATCACAATTCTGGAGACTAGAATCTCACAATTCTGGAGACTAGAAGTCCAAGATCAAGGTGCTAGCAGGATTGAGTTCTTCTGGCAGCCGCGAGAAAGAGTCTGTCCCAGCCTCTCTCCTAGTTTCTGATGTTTTGCTGGCAATGTTTGGCTTTCATTGGCATGTCGAAGCGTCACCCGATCTCTGCCTGCGTCTTTACATGCTCTTCTCCATGTGTGTCCACAATTTAATATGGATGCCAGTCATATTAGATTAGGGACACCCCCCCCCCCCCCCCCAGTATGACGTCATCCTGGGCCCCTGCAGTGACTCTACCTGCAAAGGTTACATTCTGAGGTATTCGGGCTTAGGACCTCAACGTGTAAAATTTTGAGGGATGCAGTTCAACCTATAATACGGAGTGATGGAAGCTACATGAACAGATGGGGAGTGAGGAAAGAGCCCAGAGGAATTCTGAAGCATGAAGAAAACGAAGAAGAAATGACTACAGAGAGAGAAATGGTGTTGCCAAAACGAACAGGTACCGTGATCCAAGGAGGTAGAGTCGTTCACCAGGAAAGTGGCAGGAGGACCCTGATGAGAGCGGGTTTGCTGTGATGGAAGCTGGTGGAGGAGGAGAAGATGAAGACTCCAGCGAGGTAAGAAGTCATTGATTCAAAGAACTAAGTCCTGGGGCCGGTGGAGGGACTGACCACTGTGTGACTAAGTTGATGACACTCCATTTTGACACAAAGCTGCAGCCACACTGTGCGCTGGCAAACAGCTGCCACCACCACCCTTAAGAGGAGGCGCTTCCCAGACCCCTCCAGGCCTCACACGGAGCCACTTGTCCGAGATGTGCAGTCACAGTCACAGTCACACAACGACACCCACCGGCACTGTGACAGCAGTCACAGCTGTCACTGCGAATCTCAAACTCAGGAAGAGCTCACCCAGACACCCCAACACCCAGACCCAACATGCTCCTGCACCATCACACACCAGTCAGACAGTCACGCACTGGCCACACTTCCGTCCGGCCCATACTGTCACCCGGACACACAGCCACACAAAGTACCCCCTGCTGTGGCACAGGCTCCTGCAACACACAGCCACGTGCACCAATCTCTCTCTCTCTCTCTCTCTCTCTCTCTCTCTCTCTCTCTCTCTCTCTCTCTCTCTCTCTCTCCCCCCCTCCCC